TCATTTTCTGTCTGGTTGATCTTTCCCTTGGTGTCAATGGCGTATTAAGGTCTCCTGTTACAATTCTGTTACTGATAATTTGAGTTTTCATTTCTGTTAATAGTTGTTTTATGTAACTGGGTGCTCTGGAGTTTGGTGCATATATATTTAAGGTAGTTATCTGTTCCTGTTGGAGTTTTCCCCTAAGGAGTACGTAGTGACCTTCTTTGTCCTTTATGGTCATTGTTGGTTTAAAGTTCACATTGTTAGCAAACAGAATGGCTACTCCTGCTTTTTTTTTTTTTTTTTTTTTTTTTTTTTTTTTTTTTTTTTTTTTTTTTTGGATTCCTGCTCCATGAAGTATTGTTTTCCATGCTTTGACTTTCAGTCTGTGAGTATGCTTCTGGGTGAGATGGGTTTCCTGTAAACAGCATATGGTTAGATTTTGTTTCTTGATCCATTGTGCTAGTCTGTTTCTTTTCATTGGTGCATTGAGACTATTTACATTAATGGTTATTACTGTTAAATGCTGGTTTATTGTTGACATGTTATCTCTCTGCTGTTGCATCTTTATCTTTCTGTTCTGTTTAATTATCTGCTTTGCTTAGTGTTTTTTTCCTTTGTGTATCTAAACTGTCTTTCAATATTTTTTTGCAGGGTTGGTTGGTGTTCATGAAGTTCTTCAGCTGTTCTTTGTCATGAAAGTATCATATTTCACCATCCATTTTGAATGGTAGTTTTGCAGGATACATCAGTCTAGGTTGGAAATCATTTTGCTTTAGGATCTGGAGTACTTCACTCTATGCTCTTCTTGACATTATTGTTTGTGCTGAGAAGTCTGCTGTGATTCTGATAGGTTTTCCTTTATAAGTGATCTGTCTTTTCTGTCTGACAGCTTTTAATAATCTATTCTTGTGTTGGATTTCTGGGATGGTGATTATTATATGTCTGGGTGTAATTTTATTTTGGTTATGACTATTTGGAGTTCTATATACTTTACTGATCCTGATGTCGGTTTCTGATCTCATGCTTGGGAAATTTTCAGCTATTACTTCTCTCAGTATCCTCTTGACATCCTTTATGTTGTCTCCTTCTTTTTAATTAATCCCTATCATTCTTATGTTATTTTTCTTTGCATCGTCTTGCAGTTGTTGAATTGTTGTTTCCTGATTCCTTGTTATTTTTAAAAGATCTTTCCTTTCTTGTTCACTAGCTGCAATCTTGTCTTCAAGGTCTGAAATTCTATCTTCACTTTCATTGAGGCAGTTTTTACAAACTTTCAGTGGAGTTTTTTATTTCCTGTATGTCTCTGTGCATCTGCATTATGTATTGTTTGTTTCTTATATTGCTCATCTAGGGATTCTATCTTTTTGTTTAGTTCCTCCAATTTTTTAACTGTGATTTCTTTAGATATGTTAAGAATCTCTTTCATTTCTTTTATCATTTCTTCTTTTACCTGGGAGATTATTTCCAGTTTGAATTTCTTTAAAGCTTCCTGGAGTTGCTTGTTAATTTCAGTAGCTATTATGTCTGATATTTGAGGTGAATGGCATATATTTTCTTCTATATACATTGCTCCTAGGGTTTCTTGAGATGGGCTGGAGGTTTGAGGTTGTAATTTGGTCTTTCATTTTGTCATTTTCCTATATTTCTGTATTTCAAGTGTTAGTTGAAAGCTTACTCAGTGTCTGTTGTAAATCCCCTTCTATGTTTGCAGCTCCTGAGACTCTGGCACCCAGTTACCCCAAGCCACTGAGCCTGTAGAACCAATGGCCCTCTTCTCCTGTTTAGAACTCCATAGTTCCAAATAAGCTGGGCTTCAGGGACACAGTGTGCCCACCTGCTTGTTGGAAGCTCCACAGTTCTCCAAGCGCAGCCAGAATGGGGAGGTGGATGTAGATGCCTCAAACCCACTTACCCACTTCACTGCACCTGGATGGCTAGAGGGTCCCAAACAGTCTGGGCTTTGGGCAGAGTGCTCTCAGTTAAATTTCTAAACTGAAGCTGACACAGTGTATCAACCATAGCAACAGGTGAACCTACAGACAAATTGCCTACTTCACACTTAGCAATTTTCTCCAAATGCAAATCTGATCATCTCATCCCGTAAGCTCCCTGTAGCTTTTGCAACAAGCTTCACAAGGCCCCAGGTGGCTTCATCCTTTTCATGGCTTGCTGCAAATACCCACCTTGTCTCCGTGCCCCTCTCAGAGCTGCTTTTGCTGTTGTGTTTAGTGTTGTCCTCCTGCATCTGTATCTCCATCCCTTGTGCAACTCCAGTTTGCATGGAAGGTCCCAGCCTAGATGTCACATTGGAAGGAGGCTTTGGCAATCCTTAATTTGGAGCTGAAGCTCACTGTACTCATTTCCCGTTGCAGCTGAACCGTGGCTATCAGTGTTGTGCCTTCACACGGTAGGGCTTTAGTCTCTCATCATTCTAAGGTCGTAGGTATGATACAGACTTTCTAGGCTCAAGTCAGTGTCAAGAGGGCTGCTCTAGCTTCCTCCTGTGGCTCTATATGCCCCTTTTCTGTCTTCTAATGGCTGCTCGCATTCCTGGGCTCCTAGCCCCTGCCTCCCTCTTAAAATCAGAAGCATGAGCTCTTTAGATCTCTTTAGCTCTGACCCTCCTGCTTTCCTTTCCTTTTACATGCTCATCATGCTCTGACCCTCATGCTTTCCTTTACGTGTTCATCAGCTTCACATTACAGTACCAAAATACCTGAGGTAATTAACTCACCAAGAGAAAAGTATTTATGTTGGCTCCTTACTTTAGAATTTCCAGTGCAAGAACAGGAAAAACTATGGAGCCTCTGATGGGAATGCCACATAGCAGTGGCAGGAGCATGTAATGGGGGGTCACTACTCACCTCATGGCCAGGAAGCAAAAAAAAAAGGAAAAGGAAGGCACAGGGGTCCCAAGATCCCCTTTGGAATCATATCCCCAGTGAATAGAGACCTCCCACAATTACCGCCTGCTAACAGTCCTCTGTTCCTCCAAGTGGAAGCACCATATACACCAAGACATAAATCTGTAGCAGAGTTCATCATCCAGACCCTCGTCCCATAATGGGTCTTTGCCATGGTGACTGGACCACTGTTGGCCCTAGATAATGCAGGATGGTTCATCTTAATCCTGACATGTCAACTTTGCTACACTGTGAAACTCCTAGCAGGTTATTTGATGTATTGGGGGGACATGAATGTGTGGCCCTGGGTACTACATATGTCCCTCCTCCATTCTTCTGGGGCACCCTTCTGCTGTGCTTCCTGGCTGAAATGAACTGAGCAGCTCTGCTCCATGTCACCCTTCTGCCATGATGTTCCTGCCTTGGAGCTTCAGACCACGGGCTGCCTCTCTCAGGACTGTGAGCCATATTAAACCTTGCCTCTAAGGTGTGGGATGCAGCAATAGGAAAGCTGACCAGTACACTCTCCTTCTGAAAGTCGTTAACTTGATTGGATCTCTGAAGTCTCTTGAGGGGCCAGAAGTTATCTATAGGTTCAATAGCAGAACATGAAGACTTTAAGGACAGACAACAGAACCTAAATTTGCCCCTTGGGAAGGTTCTCATAGCACTGTATAATCTGTTTTTGGAGGTACTTCTGCATTTCATGAATCAGAACCTCTTTATATCTTGATTTTGTTTTGTTTTGTTTTGTTTTGACTGAATCCTGGAGTACAGATCAGTAGTAGGAAGCATGCCAGCATGTGCCAGTGTGTTTTGTTTTCCCAGCACTGAAAAACAAAAGGTCTTAGTTACTAGCAAAGTACCTAGCATCAAATAGTTTGCTGAATCAGTCTATCAAATAATAAGTGAATGAGAATACTAAAGTAAAATAACAACTCTCCCTTGCAGAAATAAGAAAAACAGCTTCTTCTGAGTCAAATTTGAGCAGCCCTGGCCTAGAAACATAGAATTGGATGGCCATGAATGTCATGTTACCCCATGGAAGAAGGCACATGAACCTTTATAACCCCAGAACAAAGATGGTCACGAATCAATAGGTTGATCAAATACATGGGTGGGGCATTAGAAATGCTAAGGGCTGCAGCAAAGCTGGGAAATATTCTGTACAGATTTCAGATGTTGCACATAGGAGTTTTAGCTTTAGGGTTGGCAGGAGCCAGAGGTATGCAGATCTTACAGGTGGATTCTGAGAAGCTTGATTATCGTCAGGAAAGTATTAGTTCCGATATAAAACTTAAGCCAAATAACTGTGAAAATGGCCCAAGCATATTTTGGTTCTCATCCTACAGTCTCCACAGTTGTGCTGTTTTGCCAGTAAAGGTCAGCCACTCTCCAAGGTCTTTAATATCCATGTGCTTTCTTTAGACAACTTCAGTGCCATGAAAGACAGACCTGTGTTTACACCCTGACTCTGGTACCAATTCCTGATGAGCATACTTCAGACATACTTGGTCACTCCAAGCCTCAGTTTTCTTCCAGGAAAGAGGCTTCTCACTTTGCATGGTCAGAGGACAGTGAAGTGACAGAGGATCTCAGCGTATCCCAGCCATGGTTACTCACGATACCAGTGCTCAGGATGGATCTCCAGAGACTCTGGAATCTTACCGTGTGGCAACCCAAGCCGAGTCACCCCTACTCCTTCCTCTTTCTGCTCTTGATATTGTGCCTTCCCATTAGCATTCTGGCAACAGTGCTTTCCTAATCTTTTGAGGACACACAGTTAGGCTGGAAGAGGAACTTCACTGTGTGTGAGTCTTCCAGCAAATGTGCTAAACATGAATTTAAATTGAGCCATCAAGGACGTTTGCTGTGTGGACTGAGGACCTTTGAATTGGTTTAAAGGGAGAGGAAAGGAATGGAGGGAGAGAATGAGAGAGGGAGGGAAAGAATGGAAAAAGATGGAATTGTGGGAAAATAGAATTTGCCTAATGACCAGAAACATAGAACCTAGAACATAACAGAGCCCATGCACAGTGCAATCTAGGAACAGGGGTAGGACTGCATTTGATTTGATAAGACAAAGGTTGAGTTGTCAATCTTCTTTTTCAGGAATGCAATGAATTTACCTATAAGCTGGCCGAGGAAACCAGAAGGCAGTCTCTCGGGGCAGTGACGCCAGGTTATGACTTCATGGCCCACCTGAGGTATCTGTTGATAGTGTGTGCTTGCCCCCAAACTATATAAATGAAGACTCAGGGCTGACAGCTCTCCCTGCAGACAATGGCAAGCTCATCGCTGGGCCTTTTAAAATATTTACAAGGCCTTCAATAATTAAAGCTGAGTAATGTGGCTCTCTTTTGCTCCTCCCGGAGCAGAATGGAGTCGATTCTTCCTACTAATGCCCACGAGCTGGCCCAGAATCGACTGCATGTGCCTATCACCAACACCAAGACCCAGGAGAATTACCTGGTGTCAGATTTTTCCTCCAGGGAAGACCTCATTAAGGTAAAAAGGCACATGTCCTCTTACAGAAAGGCAAACAAGCTCCCATGTGTGCACTTCTTACAAAGAATGAGCGTCTCTGAATTCGTTACATCTGCTGTCTCTGATCAGGCCTGCCGGATGATGAAAGCGCAGTGAATTCCTTGTTTCATGAATGACTCCACCTCTCTCCTCTCTGAGGCTGTCATCCTCCACTTCATCTCTTTTATTCTCCTGAGGTTCAGGGCTCCCGCTTGTAATGTGGATGGAGTAACTTGCGGATGGAGTTTAGGAGCACTAATGCTTCCTTAAGTTTTTATAGCTAGCCAGGCATGGTGGCTCATGCCTGTAATCTCAACACTTCGGAGGCTGAGCCAGGAGGATCGTTGCAAGTTCAAGACCAGCCTAGACTACAAAGTGAGCCCAAGACCAGCCTGAACTGCACAGGGAGACCCTGTCTCAAAAAAAAAAAAAGTTTTTATAGCTAATTCCCTGCAGTCTAGGTAAGACTTGGACAGGAACTTGCACTTTCCACCCATCAGTGGCCCTTCTGTAAACATGCAGGACAGGAGTTATTTTGGACCTTTTTTATTGTCTTTAATAAAGAAGAAATGGGTAGACAGACTTTATGAGATGCACATTGGTACCCAGAGTTATCTTGCCTGCCAGTAGAGACCAATGCTGGTATCCAGGTCTCTCAGCTTTTTGATCTATTGTTCTGTTTCACTTCTTGCATTTTGTTCTGAGGCCTCTCTATCCAAGCACATTTGAAAGTCGACGAGCTGAGCATTGTCTTAGTTACTTTTTACTCATCTCTGAGACAAAATACCTGATGCACCAAGTTGAGGAAGGAAAGGTTTATTTCTTACAGGTTTTGGAGGTTTCAGTCCATACTCAGTTTGCTCCAAGGCAGGGTGGCATGGTGGGGCCGCAGTTCATGGTGGCTACAAACAGCAAGGCAGAAACTAGCAAGAGAGAGAGACACACCTTCTTCCAGCCCTTACATTACATCCTCTCTCCACCCCCAGGCCAGTGTAGCACTCACACCCAATCCAAGCACTAGACAATGAACCAATCACAAATGCACAGTGTAAATGTATGAGGCCTGGGGACCATCAACATAAACCATGACAAGCATTCGTTATCTCTGGGAAATACTTCATCCAACTGATTTCCAAGTAACAGCACACTTGCTAAGGTGTTGCACTGAATAACTGTGAGTTGGCAAGTCTGTGTTTCCTTTAGGAAACCTGGGAAGATCTTTCTTTCTTCTTTTGCATGAATTTAGAATTCATGAATTCAAATTTGGCTAATAGGGAGAAAAGAAAGTATAATTCCACATAGCCCATGGTAATGAGTTGAGTGTAAATGAGAGATGAATTTTCCACCTGAATGAAATACAAACACATTGATTTTTTAAATATCTTCTGGGTGGTATAATTAGGGATCTTTAATGAAATGTTGAATTGACAAGTAAAATTACTTTGCAGCTTAATGGATGAGAATATTTCTATTCGGCGTGCCTATTATACCTGTCTCTCACTTATATGTTAATAGTCTTTCTACCTTAGAAAAATGTATATCTCTATAATATGATCATAAAACTTCTTATATTATGTAGAGTTAGACAATATAGAAGGACAAGTTGGTCAAGGCATGCCTGAAGTATCATCCATTATCAATGTCCAGTTCAGACTTTGGTTGGATTGGATTGGGCTGGGTTGGTGCTTCTTCTGATTTATCTGCAGAGAGATGTGTGGTATTTATGCGCAGAGAGATGTGTGTTAATTATATTCATCCTGCTATGCTATTAAACATTAAAAGATTCTATTCTTATCTAATGCAAGAAGATAGTAATTCTTAGCTATCCCCTTTTTGTCTTTTATTTGATTATTTTAATTGGCACATGATATTGGTATGTAGTGTGATATTTGATATATGTGTCCAGCGTGCAATGATCAAATATGAACAAATTAACCATCACCTTCAACATTTATCACTGCTTGTGTTGGGAATATTCAAACCCCTTCTTTTAGCTATTTTGAAATACAAAATATTGTTAATTATAGTCATCCTGCTATGCTGTCAAACATTAAAAGCTTCTATTCTTCTCTAATTACATTTTAGTTTCCAATAACTGTCCTCTTTCTGTCCACTTTGTACCCATCCTAACCTCTGTGAGCCCCACCTCTACTCTCTCCCATGAGTTCCATGGTTTTAGTGTCTACAATGAGTAACATCATGCAGTACTTGTCTTTCTGTGCCTGGCTTGTTTCACTTGTGGAAATGTATTTCCATTCATAATACCACAAATAACAAGAGTTCATCTATTTATGAATGAATCATATTCTGTGGTGTGTGTGTACCATGTCTTCCTCATCCACTCATCAGTTGATGGACACCTTGGTATTGTAGCCCACCTCGTGGTATTATAGACAGTGCTGCAGTGTGGGAATGTCTACATCTCTTCGATATCCTGCTTTCGTTTCCTTTGAATGCATACTCACAAGTGGACTAGCTGGGTTCCAGGGCTGTCACTTTATCATTGATCCCCTGGCTTCTCCATCTGTAATAACCAGGACTCTGAGATCTTCATCTGTGTCCCAGCCTAGTTTATTTACTGCTGTTTGCAGACTATGCATTGCGCTGCTTTGTTCACTGAGTTTTTAGTGGTTTGTCTTCCTTCAGTGGAAGGTAAGCACCAAGATAGCGATTACTCCGGTTTCCCTACAAACACACCCCCAACGCCTGGCGTACTGATAGTCGCCACATAGATACTCCATGAAAAAGTATGAAAATAAATAAACAAACGAGGGTGGCATCTATCACAGCAGCCTCCCTTAAAGCAAAAGCAAAAACAAAGAAGCTGGACCCTGCGTATTCAGAGACTGGGCAATGTACCATAGGTGATGGATGAGCTGTCCGACTGGGAGGACAGTGCATGCCCTCAGTATTCTGCCCTGGGCAGGCCTTGGGCTGGATGAGAGGGCATCTTTTCCATCCCTGTTGAGAGGGAGAATGTGGTAAACACAATCACAGCCCCCGGTGACATCCACACCCTACGCCCCAGAACCTGTGAAGATGCAACTTTACATTGCAAAGGGGATTTAGTAGGTATAATGAGGGTAAACATCTCGAGATGATGAGTCTAGACGATCCAAACTGAGTGCATGAATCCTAAACATTCGGGGTCGGAGTCTTCCCTGGATTTGATGTGCCATAACTTGTTCGGCAATGTGAGATCCATGTTAAGGAGATCTGCTAAGAGCCGCTCCCCCTCACAGCAAGGAAAAGCACCCTCTGCCCTGCAAACACATGGAATAGGCCTCCTCTGACATTTGGGTGCACAAGGAAATGTTTTTTTTCCTGGAGGCTCCAAGGAGAAATGCAGCCCTTCTGACACCTTGATTTGAACCTGCTAAAGCGCTAGTCCCAGATAGCTGACTTGCAGATTGTGTGGTCATTAATGGGTCTTGTTCAAAGCTCTAACATTGGTAGCTCTTTGTTATAACAGCAGTAGCAAACTATTGTTAGGAGTAAACATGATTTTCTGTTGTTGTTTCTTTCCTTTTGGATAATACGTACTCAGAGACTTGGTGTAGTTATTTGAGTTGATTGAACAGAAGAGAAATAGCTGATGCCAGTATGCAACACCTTGCAAGGAGAATCCTGACTAATTAACATTTATCCTAGGTTATATAAGGAATGTTCTCAGTGTGTGGTAGCAGGCTTTAACCTTTTCCGCAACTAAAACAAAGGAAAGAGAAATAGTTCCTTGAAAGCAGGCAGTAACCATAAACATGTATGAAGTAGCAGCCTTTAGCTTAAGAGAGAATAGATTTGAGTTTCATCAAAACAGGATGAAATGGGAAAAAACTCACTTCCTCACACGGTCATGACTTTTCCAAGTGTAATCCTAGTAGAAGAAGATGGTCTCCACTGGTTCTACCAAAACACTTTTTCCCACCACACACTATGCTCATCTTTCAAGCCATGAATTTTGCCAAATCGAACATGTCTACAGGGTGGCCAACCATGGAGACAGAAATCCAAGTCACAAGCAAAGGGAAGTTGCATGGACTCAGTCAGAGAATTAAAATGTCCAGGGGGCTGGTTTGTGTACACGAGGCTAGGCCAGCTGAGTGTGTGGCCTGGCAATCATGAGAGTTACTGTTCTGTCTTCTATGGCATCTTACGTACTGGAATCTTATTCTTTATATGGCTCTCGGATCTTTGAGAGAGGTTTCTGAGCTGTGAAACACACATATTTGAGTCCTCCTTTTAGTAAGTGCCCAGTCAATAGCTGTGTCATGGTTGATACACTGCATCAAGTTAAGAAATGTAGAAGCTTAACTAAGTAACTCAGCAGCTCTCCATCCTAGAGTGCAGAAGACATGACCTAGAGCAACTGCTTTTGCCCTAGGATATCATAATGGTTGATTCACTGTGTCAACCTGAGAAGTTCAGGAGCTTAACTCAGCAACTCAGCGGGGGACCAGGATCCTCACTTTGTAAACATCCCCAGCCTGTGCAAGAGGAGGACATAGAGATGAAGTGAATACTGTCCCCACTCCAGGGCAGGTGGCCTGCGTACAATATAAGGGAAGAAAAGTGTCTTGCTCCCTCTTTTTGCTCTTGCTGTCTTCTGTCACCATGAACAGTTTTCCCTCTGCCATGCCACCCTCCTTGGAGGCAGCTGATTATGGACTGAAACCTCCACAGACTGTGAGCTAAATAAACCTTTTTATCCTTAATTTTGGGCATCAAGTATTTTATCTCAGCAATGAGAAAAAGTAACCAACACAGGATGCCTCTCATGGAAGAACAAGGGTTCACTTTCAGCAGGTCTGTGTGAGGATGGTATTTCATTCCTTTTTGGTCATGAAGGTTAGGCATGAATCCTAAACATTCAGGGTTGGGGTCTTCCCTGGATTTGATGTGCCATAACTTATTTGGCAATGTGAGATCCATGTTAAGGAGATCTGCCCTTTAGTGTATTAGTCAGCTTTCTTACTGCCAGACAA